GCACGTCGATGAGCGGGTAACCGGCGAGCGCGGTCAGCCCGAAGAACGCCACCGGCGCCCAGCACGCGAAGTCGGTGAACACCAGCAGGGCCATGCGCTTGGCCACCGTCATGTCAGACCGGGCCACGGACGCCACCGCCTCGCGGCCGCCCCTGATCGACGCGTACATCTTGGCGTAGCAGCCGCATATCACCACGAACGCAACGCCGTTGAACGTCAGCAAGGAGAACAGGTACACTTTGTCCGCGAACGTCGAGTTCTCCATGGGTAGACAAATGCTGCAACGGATCAATATGGTCATAATATTATATTTATCGCGGTGGGCGTGTAGTGGCGTATTTACAGACTTATATTGTATATACCTATATAATAGGCAGAGAAATAATTTTATAAATTAGTATATAAAATTATCTTTGTACGGGTGGGGGTGGGGGGCGCAACATCACCCTYGTATTGCTCTGGGCAGTAATTGGTGGTTTTTTAATAAGTGATAAATTTTCAACTAATCAGATTGCTCGTTAATCAGCTTTTTTATTGTATATTTATAAARGCAATAATAATAGGTATACTATTTTAAAATTTGTGTGAGTGTAGGCCTTACCTACATCTAATTTAACACAATTGATACATAAATGTGTTGCAGGTCTTATAGTGTACCTACTGTAGAAAAATGAGTTTTTGATTTTGGAAATAATCACTAGAAAAACGGCGAATCAAAGTGTTGGTAAGCTAGATAATAGTGTTTAGCACGCATGCCTGAGAGGTGTGCGAAATAATAATAATAATATGCAAATTCGACCTTAATAATCACCGAGCACTTTTATTCTTCGGTTACATCGCTGTTCACTCGGTGTCATTACGGCTATATTATAATATTATAAAGTTATATACGTAAGTCGCGGTCGTCGAGAGTGGGTCGGCGCTTTGCRAAAAATATACTGTATAAAAATATTTATTTAATTTCAGAATAATTGATTAAAAATTAACGGTATTCATCATTGTAAATAATAAAAGCAGATTCTCGGCGAAGCAGTAATTAAAATTAAAAAACATTCAAAAATAATAATTTTCGTTAGTTAAGTAGATAA